TTTGTGTGTGTGTGTGGGTGTGTGTGTGTGTGGTGCACATGCTTGCATCCAGCGCCTCCCAGCACCTGCAAGGCCGCGCTTCCTTATTTAGTACACGCTCTTCCCTGCTCTCAGCCTGAGGTGTTCTGCACAGGCCAGCGCCCCGCAGAGGCGCCCTTATGCGGCCGTATACCTTTCCCCATCATCCCCTCAGGATTGTGTTGTTGTTTAGTTTTGTTTTTGGTCTTTCTGAGACAGGGTCTTGCTGTGTAGTTCAGGCTGGCCTGGAACTCACAGGGATCCTCCTGTCTCAGCCTCCTAGCAGCTGGGATCAAGGCATACACCACCATACCTGGCATCCCTTAGGATTCTTTTATTTTAATTTTTTTGGTACTGGGAATCGAACTTGGACCTTGCACCTGCGAGGCAGGTGGTGGCACCACTGAGCTAAATCCCCAGCCCCCTTAAGATTCTTTCCTGGAGTCCACTGGCACACCCTTCCTGGCTTCTAAATGCCTTCTGGGCTGGTGGGAGCCTTGGAAGGAGGAGCCAGTTCACGTCTCACCCATACTCACTTTTGTGGAGTTTCTGTTTTTCGTTGTTTTGTGTCTTTTGACCCACGAATGTTGGTCATATAGCTTGGTGGGTGTCACATTGACAGATCCAGATGTGCACGTTTGCACTAGGGTCATTTTCTTCCGTCTCCTCCTTGTTCCCCATTCCTTGGGGAGGCTCCTCCCTGTCCCCTCATTTCTGTCCTGTTATCCAGGCATCTGTTTCTGCCGTCCCACTAAGCAAAGAGCGGCCAGCTCAGCCTTGCAGCAGGCCCCAGGGGTGACGGCTTCTGGGCAGGGAGGGGAGGGGAGATTGGGGCGGGGCGTGGAGGCAGCAGGGCTACCTGGCTGGGCCTGGGTGCCTGGTCATCTGGAGTCAGGCAGAGCTCCCCACAGGGCAGTGGCCCAGGGAGCACAGGAGCCCGGCCCGGTGCTGTCCTCACTGAGGGCGGGGACAGGACACACAGACAGCAGGGAGCGTGTGCCGGCTCCCATGGAGGCCCAGGGTTCCCACAGGGGGTGAGGAGATGGCACACGCCTGGCCTTGGTGACTTGGGGTGGCTGTTCTGGTCCTGTGCTGCCTCTGGGCTTCATTTTGCTTCACCCTCGGGGGCGACAGAGTAAGGGGTTCAGGAAGTCCCGGAGCTGTCTTCAGGCCGAGGTCAGCACACGCAGCTGGAGTGCGAGGCTGTGTCCCTAATGTCGCCAGGCGCGGGCTGGAGGGCAGCCTGGCCGTCTCCCTGCCCGTCCCGACCTGAATGCCAGGCGGCTGGCTCTGAAGGCAGGAGTCACTGTCCCTGGCAGAGTCACTGGAGAGCAGCAGGTGGACGTGGGTGTCCCGGGCAACGGGCAGTGATTGGCTCTGGGAAGTCAGCTCGGTGGCGGGGTGAGGGCCAGCGGGGTCGGGGCCAGGCTGGTCTGCATGGTGGCCGGTGTCCCTGGGCCAGCCCCGCCCTGCCGGCCATGGTGCTGAGTCCCCAGGCAGGGAGAGGGGCTGTGGCAGCCATGGCCATGCTGGGTGTGCAGTGACTGAGGACCCTTGCTGGGCACTGCTGTCCGTAGTCCTCCTTGGCGCGGTGACAGGGTCTGAGGCAGCTCCGAGTGACCCCATCCTGTCCTTCGCAGGCCCCAGCTGGGTCCGCACTGCCAGCTCCTGTGCGTTGTGAGCAGCCTGTGTGGTGAGTGTCCCCAGGGGCCCTGACTGGGGCAGGTCTCCAGGTCCTCAGGGGCGGGCAGAGGCCCTGCTGTTCCCATTTTAACCTCAGGAGGCGGAGGGGTGCTGGCACAGTGCCTGTTTCCCGGACATCAGGGCTGCATGAGGAGCTGGATGCTCAAGACGGCTGAGGGTGCAGGCGGGAGGCCCTGCTGCCTATGGGAGTTGCTGGGGGGTTCAGGAGAGGCCTGGCGGGGCCATGGAAAGACGATGTTTTTAAAAAGTCAGAGCTTTAAGAAGTCAGCTATGATTTTAGAAACAGCCAAGTCCTTTTTACATTTACATCTAACGAGTAAGATAAGAGAAAGCGACAAGAGCCTTGGGAAGAGCTGGATCCTCATTTGCACTCAGCTGGAAGACGTTTACAGCCTCAGACACCTGATTACGATGACTTTCTTAGATGTGGCCTTGTCCTGTCCCCAGACACGGGCCTGCAGCTTTTAGAAGGTGTCATACAGGGTTTTCAGTGAAAGAATTTCTAAGATTAGTGTGACAGAGGAAGCTAGGCATGGTGGTACAGGCCTGTAATCCCAGCACTTAGGAGGCTGAGGCAGGAAGATCCCTGAGAGGGATCAGCTATCCTGGGCTACATAGTGAGTTCAGGGCCAGCCTAAACTATATAGTGAGACTCTGCCTCAAAAACAAAAACAAAGCGCAATAAGTAAATAAATAAAATGACAGAGAAGCAAACTGAGGTGTTTTGGTTGGTGATGGGTTTGACCCTAGCTACTTATAGCCAACAGCCATGTAGACCTGTTAATACCGTGAGAGTTCGGATCCGTGACCCCTGGGAGTGGACAGGGAAGCAGATGTGCCGTGGCCAGTGAGCTGGGTGCTGTCTCTCAGGTTCTCTTGTGGCAGTGGATGAACTTCTTTCCCTTTTCCCCTTGGCTGCCGGGCCCCTCCTCTCCCACAGGCCTGCGGCCCTGAGGCCCACCATGGCGGACGGCCACCAGCTGGACCTCACCTACATCACAGAGCGCATCATCGCCATGTCCTTTCCCACCGGCTGCTCTGAGGAGTCCTACCTGCACAGCCTGCAGGAGGTCACGCGCATGCTCAAGTCCAAGCACGGGGACAACTACCTGGTGAGCAGTGGGTGGTGCTGTGGCTCCCTCTTCTGGGCGCCCAGGACAGCTGGGGACGAGGGGAGGGCGGCCCAGGGTCACCCGGCCGCCTGGGGCAGGAAGGTGGCTCCCTCTGGACACCTGGACTGCAGGCCAGGCTTGCTGTCCACGCAGAGCCTTCCCCTTCCTGTTGTCGGGTCCCGTGGCTCCCTCCGCCCTGCCCTAACCCTAACCCTGCCCCTTGTCTGGCAGCAGCATGGAGGCTGTTGTCACCCTTTCGCCTTCTTCAGCCTGAAGGGCTCTGTGCAGGGGGTTAGGGCGCCTGTGTCCAGCTACAGGGGCCCCGGCCCCCAGCCTGCAGCTTCCGGTGGTCTCACCCTCGGGCCCCGCCCCTTCTGTCCTGCAGCCTCCCCTAGCCGTGACCTGCGTGGACAGGAGCGGGTGGCCAGCGGGACCGTGACAGTCACTTGCCCTCCCCTGCCACACAGCGCCCACCCCTGCACGGAGGGGAGGAGAGGTTCATTTTGGCTCACAGTGTCCCGGAATTCAGTCCATGGTCACCTGGTTCCCAGGAGAGGGGCCTGGCAGAGGGAAAGGCGCTCAGTCACTGGGGGCCACGAGAGCAGGGAGAGCAGGGAGGAGCTGGGGACAGGAAGGTACCCTGGAGGTGGCTCCCCAGTGACTCCTCCAGCCAGGCCCCGCCTCCCAACTGTACACTCAGGCCGGAACTCGCCCGTGGATGGGTCCCCTGGTGAGTGTGTCTGTCTGAGTGCCTTCCACACATGGACACTTCCGGGGACACCGGATCTAAACCTGCCAGGCCACTGCAGACACACGTGCCCCATCGTTCTGGCCTCTTCCTGCAGCAGCCCTGGAGTCCTCTTTCCTGAGTATCTTACGAGGTGTGATAAATACTGACTGCTACCACCGAGCGCCATCCAGCAGGAAGGCAGCTCCTAAAAACGTGACACTGTCCTTCTCCCCCTATGCACCGGAGCTGGCACGGTGTGGCTTTGTCTAAATGACCATCTAAGGGAGACGTTTTGGATCAGTTCAGGACATCAAGACAGTCAGGACAGCACAACTGGACACACCCAGGAAAGAGGACTCCAGAGCTGCTGCAGGAACCGGCAAGGAAGGAGAAGATTTTGAGACGTATTCACCGCAGTGTGTCTTTTACTGTAGTGAATTTGTTTTGCTTTGTTGTTTCATTTTGTGTTTTGGGATCTGTGTAGTTCAGGCTGGCCTTGAGCTCGCAGTGATCCTCCTGCCTCAGCCTCCCCAGTGCTAGGATGACAAGCGTGTACCTCCAAACTGATATTTTGAGAGAGGCTGCTCTCCCGGGATTTGCTCCTGCTCCTGAGCAGGGCCAGGAGAACCAGGTTCTGTATACGTAGATCTGTCTACCACAGTAATGCAGTAAATTGGGTCTTTAGGTCTAGCTAGCAAAAGTAGAATTAGGAGTAGGTGTGGGGTTTGTGCAGATTTCGTGGGTCCTCATCTTGGTTCATCTTCTGTGAGGCAGAGATGTCACGTATGTGTGTATACTTCAGTCTGAAGCAGGTGTTTTGTCAGCTGGAGTTGATATTTACCTCATCTCTTTTTTGCAGGTATTAAACCTTTCAGAGAAGAGATTTGATCTCGCAAAGCTTAACCCAAAGGTACGGGCTTCATTCTGTTAGACTCTGAGGTGGGTGAAATGTAAGCAGCATTCTGTTCTGCGGTGCACAGGCGTTTGTTACAGGTTTTGGGGGACTGGTACTTGATAAGGGGCATCAGGGACTTGATAATGGGGTAGTGTGTTGCTGGGGATTGCACCCCAGGCCTTCTTTTTTTTGAGACTGACCTGGAACTCACTATGTAGCTCAGGCTGGTCTCAAACTTACAGTGATCCTCCTGCCTCAGACTCCCGAGTGCTGGGATTACAGGTGTGAGCCACCACACCTGGCTACTCCAGACCTTCTTTATTTTTTTGATCCAGGATCTCTCTGGGGTACCCAGGCTGGGCTTGAACTTGAGATCCTCCTGCCTCAGCCTCCCAAGGTGCTGGGATGACAGGCGCACCCCACCACACCCAGCTGGGGTTTAAAAAAATTAATACATTTTTTAGTTTGAAGTAATCGGAGCTCCGTAAGAAGTAGCAGTGATAGTAGAGATCTGCAGATAACAGAGAGATCTCCCCCAGTGGTGGCCTCTCAAATAGGAATACAGGCTGAACATCATCAGAAAATCTGAAATTCAAAATGCTTCCGGCCCCGAACTTTGAGTCCCGCACAGTGTCAGGGCGGGAAGTTCCACACCGTCAAACTTTGTTTCACGCGCAGGATTATTTTGTTTTGTTTTATTTTTTTTGGTACCAGGGATCGAAATCTAGACTTTGTGCTTGTGAGGCAGGCATGGTGCCACTGAGTTAAATCCCCGGCCCTCACGGGCAAGATTGTTAAAAGTCTTACTAGGAGTTACTGCGAGGTTGTCTGGATACTGAGTGTGACACGAGTGTTGTCGGGTCGTGTCCCTAAGACAGCCACCGTGCGTGTGCAAATACTCGGGAGTCCAGACCTCGGGTCGCAGCCGTGTTACGCTACCCTGCAAGGGGCCACTGGTGCCGCCCACGGCCCTGGCTGTCTCCGCTTTCAGGTGCGCTCCCTTCCTCTGTGTGTGTGCCTGTGTGCAGAGTGAGTTGTGCACGATGCCCTCTCCCCAGGCCTCACAGAGTCACGGAAGTGGCCCCGTAGCTCTGAGTGGTGGCCACGGGTGTGGCTTCTCCAGCCACTTCTGTTGCTTCTCATGGGGGCAGCCCCTCTCCTGCTTCCTGAGAAACTGGGGACGACAGGGGCGGGGCCTGTGAGAAAGGGTTGATACACGGACCCCTGAAATACTGTAGCTCCCCACCCGATAGACGTCTGCCAAAATCGAAGAATAAATTCTAGAAACAGTGGCAGCTCAGAACGGGAAGAATTTGTCGGGAGAAAGACAGAAGGGGCTCTGGAAAGTGGGTTGTCCACAGACCTCCTTCTCAAGGAGCTGGATAGAGCAAAACCACGGGGTGAGGCAGGTATAAGGTGGGACAAAACTATAGTCAACTAATAAGATTTTAAGTTTGTTCCCTTAGGTAATATTGATCCAATGGGAAATCACAAGGTGGGTATGAGGTGGGACAAAACTGTAGTCAACCAATAAGCTTATAAGTTTAGTCCCTTAGAATAGTATTGATTAAATAAGGATCCCGTGGGGAAGCAAGTCACATAGCAAGCATATGTGGACTGCACAAGGACCTAATGCTAGTGTCATAGTGTGAATTCCGTCAGTAAAGGAAGGAGGCCGTCCTGCAATGGCCCGGCACTTTCGAGAGGGAAACTGAGGCAGCTCCTGACTGTCCTTGCAGATCATGGATGTGGGCTGGCCGGAGCTGCATGCACCGCCCCTGGACAAGATGTGCACGATATGCAAGGCCCAGGAGTCCTGGCTGAACAGCGACCCGCAGCACGTGGTGGTCATCCACTGCAGGGTGAGCCCCCAGTTGCAGGGTTTCTAACACTGTGTTCGCCAGACGGAAGGATCTGACTCTGAGTGAAACTCCGTCCTGTGGGCTTTGCCCTTTCTCCCCTCCTCCGTGGCCCTGGGGGGATTTCGCTCCCTTCTGTGGGAAGAGAGCTGCCCTGAGGCGAGTGCGCCAGTTTCCTTCGGGGTGTGCCTAGCAGTCAGGTTGCTGGATCATTCCGTGGTTTTAGTTTTTTACAAATCATAGTTTTATTCATTTATTTTTGGTACCGGATCGAACTCAGGTCCTTGCCCTTACAAGGCTGGTGGCAGCACCACTGACCATCCCCAGCCCTAAAAAGCATAATTTTGATGCCTGGTTGTCTGCAGTTTAAATGCTTGTTTATATACATAGGAACTTTTCCTGTGTCTGTTTTACGTTTTTATCAGTGTGGATTTACAGCACACAATGAGCATATTCACCCCGGGGAGGCAGCACATAACAATATCGCGTCTTAATCCTTTCTGCTCCCCTCCTCCCCTTTCCTCTCGTCTTCCTCTGCCCTCAGAGCCCACTCCCACCTCCTAAGGTCCATAGCCCAGTTTCCTATCTCTTGCTTTGGGTTTCTCGCGTAAGCTAAACCATGCAACAATTAACCTTCTGTCTGATTTATTTCACTGAGCATTATGGTGTTGAGGGGCATCCATTTTCCTGCAAATGACTCCAAATTTCCTTCTTGATGGCTGTGTAGTACTCCATGGTATATGTTACCATGCGTAGTCATTCCATTCATCTTGGGGAATTGGCGCATGCACATATCATATCTTGGTCATTTTTCCTTCCCTCTCTCCACCTCAGTTTTTCCCTTTCAGTTTTTAAATGATGGAGTTTAATACTATCTGAAGCATGTGGGTCCCAGGTATGAAATTGCCACCCAGAGATCTCTGCATTAGACTTCCTGCCAGCAACAGCCCCGGCCTCCCGTGGGAACCGTGCTCCGGGAGTGGAGCCCTCACTGGAACTGCCGAGGTGGGGGATGGAGGGCGGAATCGCTGACCGGGTGGGAATGCACCAGCTCTGTGGAATTCCAGCCCTGCCCCTGTGCCTGCCCGGGATGACCGCAGGGCTAGGCTGGCTGGGCAGGCGCAGTGCGGGTCAGCGCGCCTCACCTCGCCCCTGCGCTGTCTGACCTGGGGTCTCGGTCGGGGCCTTCAGCCTCCCTCTCTCCTCTGCTTGACAGACTTCATCCCTTTGTCCGAATCGCAGAGCATCCAAGGGGTTAGCGATTCTGCCCTAAAGAGTGTTGCTGGCGGGAACAGACCGCAGACAAGAGCCCATGCTGCCTCCTGTTTCCCTACATCCTGAGAGCTTTCGTCTCTGTGAAAAGCTGTTTTTGGTTTTTTGAGGCAGGGTCTTGCTATGTAGTCCAAACTGGCCTTGACCTCAGGGTGATCCTCCTGCCTCAGCCTCCAGAGTGCTGAGGTTCGGGGCATGCTACACACCTAGCTGTGTCAGTTTTAGGAAGTTCAGATTTCATAAATGTGGCCCCCACCCGCTCTTCTTCATGTACGTCCTCGCAGGTCTGAGCTGTGAGCCCTAAAATAGTTACCATCTGGCTCTCAAAGAAAAACATCAGAGGGGAAGGGGACATAAAAGGAACCACGGTGTGTGCTGTTCATGTAGCAGCTCCCCATGATGACTGTGATCATGTCTCGCAAATACGGAATGATAAGAAAAATTAGAAAATAGAAAAGGAGGCCAGCCGATCTGGGTGTAGCACTGGCCTCGAAAAGGAGCCGTGAAGTTTTCCCTTCCGTCTGAGAAGGATGGATGCCACTGCTCTGACTGTCAGAATTCAGCCCTGAAGAGGTCTGGCCGGGCTTTTCCTCCAGAGGAGGCTTATCATTCAGTCCATCTCCCTCTGCCCGGGCTGGGTGCGCTTTCTCTTGTTCTCCACTTGCTGGGCTGCAGGTGTCTGCAGCAGTCTGGTGACCCTGTGCGCTTCTGTCCCTTTTGCGTTCCTTAGTCTCCCTTGTTTTTTCCTCTCAGCTGCTCTCGCCAAAGCTTCGGCAATTTTGTTTACCTTGTTTAAAGAACAACTCCCAACTTGGTTGATCTTTTCTGTTGCTTTCCAAGTCCCTGTTTTGTTCTGCTCTGAGCTTTGCTAGTTCTCTAATTCTACTCCCTTTGGGTGGAGTTCTGTATTTTCAGGTCCTTGAGGTACAAGATCAGGTTGTTTATCTGCGATCTCTCTTCTTCTCGGCTGTAGATGCTTTTGCTGAAAACTTCCCTCCTGGAACTGCGTTTGCTGTGTCCCACTACGTTTCAGTTTGTTGTGTTACAGTTGGGTTTGTCTCCAGATATTTTAAATTCTCGTTTTAATTTCTTCTTTGACCCAGTGGCTGCTCATGAACTTGCTGTTTAGCTTCCACATATTTGTGATCTTTCCAAGATTCCTCCCGTTACTGATTTATGGTGTCGGACCAGGGCTGTTGACGAGAGCCTTGGTAGCATTCCAGCCTCCTCAGCTCTGTTGGGACTTGTTCTGCGGCCCAGCCCAGGGTCCATGCTGCCATCTTCTATGACCCGCGAGAGGTGTGAGAGGCGTGTGCATCCTGAGTGTGTCAGAGGTGCAGTCCGAGCTCGGTGGTTTCTCCTTGTAACTGATTTTGTGTCTAGATGCTTTTATCCACTGGGGAAAGTGGGGTAATGAAGTTTCCGCTGTTACTCTATTGCTGCCTGTCTCTTCCCTAGAATCTCTTAATGTTTTAACTGTAACCAGAGCTACAAAAATAACGGATTGCGGGTACCAGCAGCGGATACCATCACATTATCTCTTTGAGGCGCTCTTCTCACTGGTGAACTTCTGTTCCTAGAGAAGTCGCGTTTACACCAGACATACGTAGGAGCTTTACACTTAGCTGGCACCTGTGTGTGCGAGGCTCAGTGTAGAGGACTTGAAGCCGTTGGCTTTCCCAGGACAGAGGCCGCTCCAGTGACCCCTGCACGTGTTTGTGGGTTGGTCAGAATTTGCTCGTCCATTCCTTTTCAGCAGTAGCAACTTGGACAGGACACAGCAGCGGCCCCCGGTTCCACGCCAGGGTCACACTTCTCACGGAAGCATCTTTGGGGGCTGTCGCCGGCTCCCCCTGTGTGCCGGGCCGTGCATGTCCGTGGTTGGGCCTGGAAAGTGCCTGTTCTCCCTGCATAAGAGGGAGGCCGCTGGCTGGCACAACATGGATGCCTGGGCCATGGGGTGCTGGCCCGGGGCCGTCCCCGCTCTGAGTGTGTGGTCCCAGCTCTGTGCTGTGGCTGCAGCGCCCCTCTGGCCTCACCTCGATGATGAAGTCATCACTGCCGTCCCTGCATCGTGGCCCTTAGTCCTGTCCTCAGTGTGGCCCCGAGTGAGGGGCTCCCGCCGGCCTGCAGAGCAGGCTCTGTATTCTGACTGGCCGAGCTTCTCCTGTTGGACACCTGCTCCTCTCTTGTACCTGCAGGGCGGGAAAGGACGCATCGGCGTGGTCATCTCATCCTACATGCACTTCACCCACGTCTCGGCCAGGTAGGGTGGGCTGGGCTGGGCAGGGTCCTGCCAGGGGCCGCGGAGGGAAGGTTCTGAGCTGGGCAAAGGTGTTTCCTATCTGGGGTGCTGGCTGGGTGGGTGGAAAGGGCGTCCGTAGGGGTGCAGGGAGCGAGCCGGTCTCTCCAGACCCGGAGCGGAGTCCCTCCCGCTCTTCTGCCAGGCCTCAGATGATCGCTGGGTGGCTCGCTGTCCCTCTCACACCTGAGTGGGAAGCCAGGCCAGGCCAGGTCTCGGGGGCAGTGATCGTGGGGTTCCGCGAGCTCCCGGCCTCTGCCGGACAATGGCCACCGTGAGTCACAGGACCTTGCCTCGGTCCAGGTATGGCCTGTCCCCACACCGCCCATGCCAGCCAGTTCAGTTTAGGAAATACTCACTGCCGGGATTTGACCCCACAACCTCCAAGAAGGAAAAAGTGTGGCCCGCCCTGTCCCGGGTGAGCACTAGGTGGGTGGGGGGCTCCTGGCCTTGTCCCTTCCTCCACTGCCCCGAAGGCCACAGGGGCTGGGCGGGCTCTGCACAGACCCAGCACCCCACACCCTGGGCGGTACAGACCCTCAGGGCCTGTGAGGAGGAAGCCCCATGGGACTGTCTGCAAGGGACAGCCGCCCCTTAGCTGCCCACTTCTGTAGGAAGCAGAGACTCCTTGCGGCCTTCATCACGGACTCCGAACAGCAGGAAACAGACTCAGGTCACGAGCGAGAGGTGCTTGTGTGGGCACCGTCGGAAGGCGCAAAGACAGCCGGGGCCAGGATTGCTGGCCCTGATGGTACTGTTGTTGCTGGACTTTACCATTACCGCAGATATATTCTTAGCATTTAGCGAAACAACTGAATCCTGGAACAGTGCCTGCCTGCTGGGCCTGTGTGGTGTGTAACTGCATGACCTGAAAGATGTGGCCTGTGCGTGTGCAGGGCGAGCCCGGCCTGCCAGGGACGCCCTAGACACGGGCGGCCCACGAGCCACTCGCGTGTCCGGGAGAGGCCGCCCATGGAACTCGATCTGATCGTATTTTCTTGGCCCTTCTGCCCATCTGGCTGCACATTTTTTCCAAGTGTCTGTGACTCCTGGATCCAGTGTCCTGTCTGCTGGGGGCATGCTCGTTTTTCTGAGGCGAGGCCCGCATTTCTGCCTGATGTTTCGGGTTGGCCCTTGGCTCTGGGCCTGCGTGGGATTGTGGAGCTGGTGCGCGAGACCGAGACCACTGTGCATCCCACAGTGCAGTTGTATGGCCTGGGGGCCTTGCCCTTCCTGCCCTGTAACTCACCCAGGCCTAGAAGTGGGGCTACCCGTGGAGCGCCCCACACTCATCTCTTGGGGCCTCGTGGGTATTGCTGGGGCCCCGTCCCAGGTCTGCTCCGCTGTGTCCATCATACCCTGTGCACAGCCCCTCTCGGGGTCTCCTGTGGGTGAGGTGTGGGATTTCACACAAGTTTAGACCCTGACGGTGTGGCCCCCTTTTCTGTTGATTGCTTGATTGATTGATGCTGGGGTCTGAATACAGAACCATCCTACTGAGCTACATCCCAGCCCTTTTCATTGTTTATTTTGAGGCAGGAACTTGGTAAGTCATTAAATTGCCCGGCTAGGCTCTGACTTGGGGCCCTCCTGCCTCAGCCTCCCACTGTGCTGGGATTTCAGGTGTGCACTTCCGGGCTCCACTGCTGCTTTGATCCTGCGGGGACAGGAAGTTGGATGAATGCGCACAGTTGCTGCAGGACGCAGATCCTGGCCACTCCGCCATGGGGCAGGAGTTAGCCGCGCTGAGCCCCCTTTCTGTTCCTCTGCTCCTCAGTGCTGACCAGGCCCTGGACAGGTTTGCCATGAAGAAGTTTTATGACGACAAAGTCTCGGCGTTGATGCAGCCCTCGCAGAAGCGGTAGGTTGTGTCCGTCTGTGGCCCCCACCCCCTGGCTCGGGGGGAAGAGGCCAGTGGGGTTTACCTCTAAGCAGTGAAGGCGGGAGGGCACCGCCTCTGCCCTGCAATACCTGAACAGCCCCCCCGGTGGTGCCCTTGACCCTGGGGTTGGGGCAGAGCAGCCCTCGTGTCCGTGGGGTCCCTGTGCTGTAGACCCAGTGCCCCTTCTTCCACCCTCGCTGGGCTGGGCCTTGTTTCTGTCTCCAGGCCAGCGCTCAGTGACCTAGAGGCGGAGGACACGGCTTCCGCCCCTCTTACCACAGTGCTGTGGGCCGCAGGAAGGGAGTGAGACGTAGCTGTCGTCTAATAAAACTTTATCGACACAGACAGGGCCACCGGTCGCCCTAAGGCGACTCCTGTCTTACATCCGCAGCTTCCTGGAGCCGGAGGGAAGTCGGGGGCCCTGAAGTGTTGGGGTACAGCCAGGAGAGCTGGGCTTTCTCCTCCTGCCCCGTGGGCTGAGGTCCGGAGGTGTCGAGACGGGGCCTCACTTCTTCCCCTGTGTGTCCTGTGCCGATGCCACGTGGGGCCTGTCACCCCACGGCTTTGTGGTTTTACTCAAAGTCAGGCAGAGGAATGGCCTGGGAGGTTGCAGATGGCCTTCTGTCTTGGGGAGGGGAAGTGCAGTCTGACCCTCAGGGTGGAGCCATCCCTCCGGCTGCTGCCCGGTGCTGTGGTAGAGCTGCTGCTGGTGTCACAGGACTCCAGGGACTGGGCCAGGACTGGGGTGGAGCCTCGGCCTCAGGGACCCTAGGTCTCTGGCTTTTGTGAGGCTTCTCCCTAATCTGCTGCCAGGTGGATGGAAGCCTGAACCCCGTCCCTAACTGAGCCACACCAAGGAGGAAGCCAGCACTGTTTTCTAAGCTTTTCCCAAAGCCTAGGCTCTAAGCAGGTTTTTTTTTTTGGTACCGGGAGTTGAACTTGGGACCTTTTGCTTGTGAGGCAGGCGTTGGAACCACTGAACTAAACCCCTAGCCCAAAGCAGGGTTTTCTTTATTTTTTTTGCTATGCCTGAGAAATTTCCGCTTGTTCAGTTTGCACATTCAGCCCCTTGATTGGAGGGCAGGGCCGAATCTCAGTGCACCTGGAGAGTTTGTGTCTCACCTGAGTTCAGGCCTCCCGACTCCTTGTGGTATGAGGTTCTTTTTGGTCCCTGCGGGGACTTTGAGGTGGATGTGAGGACCTTGAACTGCAGACATCACTTCCTGCCTCTCACAGGTGGTCGGCTGGTGGGCCCTGGGTGTCTGGTTTGCCCCTGACATCGGTTGTGGGCTGCAATGGAGACAGAGGAGGAGGCAGGTAGATTGGTAGAGATGCAGCAAGGCCACTAGAGGGCTCAGGCAGGCACAGGACAGAGGCCCAACTCGCGGGAGAGCAGGTGCGACCAGGCTCCAGTGCTCCTTCCGGCCCTGCTGGGCATGGCGCCCCTCAGGGCTGTGGCAGGTGTGCACTCCTGCCTTGGAGAGACCGAATCCTATCCTCCGGGCCTGCAGTGGCCCTGCTGGGCCTCGCCTCGAAGCCGGGCAGGACCAGAAGGAGAAGCTGGGGCAGAGCGGTCGGGGCCTGAGGTCTCACTTCCTGTCGGGCCAGCTGCTGGCCGAGTGCGGTCCTGAGTGTGGGGACGGCCACCTGTGCGGAGTGTGGAGTCTCAGCGTTCCCACCCCGGCCCTGGAGTGTGGCCTGGGGTGTAGGCCATGTGCAGCAGGGCAGGTTCTCCCCAGGGCCCTGGGAGGGGCAGCCTCTAGGCCGGCGGGCTGGGCCCTGAGCTGCCTTCTCCCTGCAGGTACGTGCAGTTCCTCAGCGGGCTGCTGTCGGGCACCGTGAAGATGAACGGCGCGCCCCTCTTCCTGCACTGCGTCGTGCTGCATGGCACCCCCAACTTCGACGCCAGTGGAGGTGAGGCTGACCCTCCTGTCCTGGGTTCGGACACCCCTGTCCTGTCCCTGTCCCTGTCCCCACCCCTCTGCTGTCTTCCATGACGCCCAGAGCTGCCCCTCAGCCCTGTGGACACAGTCCTGGTCCCCTCAGGTACACAGAGCCCTGGGCCGTACCGCTGACCAGGGCAGGGACGGGGTGGGGGCGTGCCAGAGACACCCGTGTCCCCTGGCCCTGAAGCCCTGCATTCAGCTGTGTGCTGAGCTCGGGACCGGCATGGGAGCCCTCCTGTACTCGTCCCTGGGGCCCAGCTGCGCTTGCCCATTGAGACGATCCCACCGGGTATAGTGGGGCACACCTGTCGTTGCAGTATTTGGGGGGAGCCAAGGCAGGAGGATCACCAAATTCAAGCCCAACTGAGGCAATTTAGGGAGACCCTGTCTCAAAACAAAAGATACATGCTAGGGCTATGGCTGAGTGGGAGGGCCCTGGGTTCAAACCCAGTACCACCACGAGGGGATGAACGAATGAATGTGTGAATAAATTTCGAATAAACAGCCACAGGGCCCCTGGCTGACCATGCACTGGTGCTGGTCCTCGGCCCCACTCAGAGCTGGGGTTCTGGGGAGGCCCAGCCACCCTGTCCCGCCCAGGCTGACTGCACTCACGGCACTCTGTCTCTTCCAGCCTGCCGGCCCTTCCTGAAGCTCTACCAGGCCATGCAGCCCGTATACACGTCAGGGATCTAGTAAGTGAACTGGCCGAGCCGTGTCTCCTGGCAGAGGGTGGGCTGTGCCCTCAGGAATGGAGTTCTGGGCTACTGGAGCTTCCTGTGTAATTTTTGAGTTTCCTGTTTGTGTGTGTTTTTAGCATGTACTGTGTGTGTGACATCATGACACCACATAACCATCTCCCTCTCGCTTATCCCAAAGTAACATTGGCCCTGAGAGCCCGAGCAGGATCTGCATTGCCATAGAGCCGGCCCAGCTGCTGAAGGGGGACGTCATGGTGAGTGCTGGCACCCCTGCAGCCACTGTGCCCACTGTCCCAGTAAAAATTGCCCAAAGGGAAAAATGGCTCCATCTTAAAACAACACCCCCGGGGGCAAAAAAAAAAAAGAAAAGAAAAGAAAAAAAAACTATAGGAAAAATGGAAACTAGCTTTGACCTTACGGCATTTGGTTAGTCGTCTGACTAAAAAAGTTTAATCAAAGAACAGCACTAAGCCCACCATGGTGGTGCACTCTTATAATTCCAGCCCTCTGGGAGGCTGAGGCAGGAGGATCCCAGGTTCAAGCTCAGCCTGGCAACTTAGTGACTTCGTGAAACTGCTTCAAAAAATAGAAAGGGCTGGGGTTGGAACAAAGGGGTCCTGGGTCCTGCTCCCATGGCTAATGCAGCAGGTGACAGACCCAGGGCCCGGAGGACAGCGAGGGCTGCTACCTGAGGGCCCTGTTCTGCCAGGTTTCGTGCCCTGCCCTGGCATGCCCTTCTGTGGGCCGGGAAAGCCCTGGCCTGCTGGTTGTCATATGGCAACAAGGTGGGTGGAGAAGGCCAGGAGAAGGGATGGCCCGGCCCGCTGTTCTCCTCTGTCCCGGGTCATTGTGGTGTGGCTTGGCCCAGCCCCCATGTCATGTGGCAGAAGCCCATGGCTTGAGGCACCAGCACCCTGGGGTGGTCCAGGAGGGCCAGCAGCTCTGGGCCTCCCAAGTGAGCTCTAGCACCCCAGTCCCTGCGGCTTGCAGGGGCTTGCAGGGGCCTGGCCTGGGGCGAGGGCTGCCGAGGCTCTGCGTGCGGCCAGAAGGTGGTGGAGGGTGGGGCCAGAGCGGGGCTAGGGGAACAGGAGGCTCAGGAGCAGGAGCCCTGGCCCCTTCTGTCCCTAGCTAGTGTGCTGTAGATTGGGAGACCTGGATCGAGTATGGGTGCAGTGCTGGCCAGTTTTGCCCTTGCTGGGACTGAAAGGAGGAAGGGATTGAGCATGGCTCATGGTTTCAGGACACTCGGTCCATGGTCGGCTGGTGCCAGGGCAGAAGCATCAGGAACGGGGATTTGGTGAGGCAGTGGCTCAGTTCAAGGTGGCTGGGAAGTAGAGCAGGGGATAGAGAGCAGGGCTGGCGTGGTCACCGAGGCCACTTTTCCAGAACACTGTGACCGAGTGGTGTTCATTTGTCATGGACCTGGAGGCCAGAAGTCCAGGGTCCAGGTTGGACACCTGGTGAGGCCCGGCTCCCCCATTCCCACAAGGCACAGAGGCCACGACATCTCTGGTCCCTCTCGGGGCTCCAGTCCCCTCATGAAGGCCAGCCCTTCCCTGGTCACCTCCTGGTCCCAGGCCCCCTCTCTGTCCCTTCCAGGCCTTCCCCGTGCGTGCGCAGGTCCCCAGCAGCTCCTTTCTCCTCATCTGGGTATCAGGAAAGAGTGGCCTGGGCCCGGTTCTGCCCTGCCCCCCTCTTGGCTCAGTGATGGCACCTGTCCCTCCTCTTCGGTGGCCACAGTGGCGTTGTCCTTGCCTGGTTATGGCTGCTCCTCACGTCGGTCGCCTCCAGGCTGTTGTGCCCCTACCACACAGCCCAACTTCCCAGACCCCTCACTGGCTCTCACCACCATGTAGTTGCTGCTGATTCTTGACTTACTTATTCATTCATTTAAATGTTTCTGGTGCTGAGGCTTAAACGTAGGACCTTCACACTGAGCTACAGATGAGCCAGAAGAACACTGAATAGCCAGACATGGTGGTGCGCACCTGCAGTCCCAGCTTTTGGAGAGGCTGAGGCAGGAGGATCCCAAGTTCAAGCCCAGTGTGAGCAGATCAGCAACTTAGAAAGACTCTGTATCAAAGTAAAAATAAAAATGGGCTGGGGCTGTGTAGCTCTGGATCCAATGCCCTGGATTGCAAAAACAAAGGAAAAGCACCTGGAAGGCTGAGGATGTATAGCTCAGTGGTGCTGCACCTACCTTGCAAGTGCGAAATCCTGAGTTCGATCCCCAGTCCCAAAATAAAGTAATAAATGAACTGGAGGCTGAGCAGGATGGCACCGGGTGTGGGTTTTAGCTGGGGTCTCCGGGGATCCCTTGTCCCTGCGGATTTCTTCCCTGCGAGCCCTTCCAGCCAGGAGAGAGCCTTGCCCTTTCCGGAGGTGCTCGCTTCCTTCCTGTTCCCTTTCTCGTCCTGTGCGTGGAGTAGTCCGGGTGCCTTCCCCTTGTCAGTGATGCTGCCTGTGTCTGCCCTGGCTTTCTGTGCGCTCCCTGGCTCTCTCTGCAGGGTTATCAGCTGGAGGTTTGGAGGTGGATGGTGGCCAGGGGGGGGTGATTTTCCATCTTGCCCTGGTTGCAGAAGTAATCGGCTAAGTGGTTTGCTTGTGTGAAGCCCACGAGGCTGTCTGACCCTAGCAAGGCACCCCAGGCTGGCACTGTGTAGGAAGCAGGGTTCTTTTCTCTCCGTCCTGAAGACCAGAGGTCCTAGGTCCCGTTGTTGGTGGCGGTGCTTTCTCCGGGACCTCTGCCTGCCTGCTTGGCCACAGGGTTTTCCCTGTCTGTGTCAGGTCTAACCCCTTCTTCTAAGGACCCCGATCAGAGTGTGTCTGATCCACCTGGTCTCTTAAAAGCCATTTTTTGCAGTGCTGGGAATGGAACCAGACCCCAGCCCCAGCCCCTAGCAGCCATATTCTAAGTAAAGCATCTGTGTAAAAATCCCATCTCCTACTGCAACTGGGTTCTGAGGTCTGGGCCATCCAGCCCCTGGTGACTGGGTGCCTGTGGCTCTGTCTGGTCACCGGCTGTGGTGGGGAGCCGCTGCCCACAGGCCTGGACAGGGCCACCTGGGCGGTACTGCAAGCTGCGCTTGGGGTCCGTTTGCCAGCAGGGCAGCAGCCGACACACTGGGAGTCCGGCTGGGTGGGACTCAGCCTGTCGGGAGTCAGAGGCTGCAGCTTCCCTGGCAGAGAGAGCTGTGAAGGTGGCTGCCCCAGCCTGCAGGCTGATCCCATCCAGGCATCTGCATTGTGCAGAAGCTCCGGGTCCCCAAGGGCCGCTGGTTCTCCCTGAGCGTGACCTGGGGTCAGCTCTGGCAGAGGCAGAGCCCAGGTGTTCCTGGCTGCAGGGCTCCCCAGGGACGCCCCCACCTCTGGGCTGCTCTGGGGTCCCGAGGGTTGTAATGCAGAGTCCAGAGTGTTCTCAGGTTTCTCCTCTGCAGCCTGGCTGCTCGCCCTGTGCCCTCCGCAGTCCCACCTTGGCCCAAGCTGGCTCCGCGTGCCACTGCAGGTGCTGGGGTGGAGAAGCAGGGTGGACACCCGACTGAGCAGGGTTCCAGTGTATGAGTGGCTGCACTCCAGAAAGGCTTGGAAAGGTTCTGCAATCTGGGCCCACCCGAGGCCTGGCCTGCAGGGTGGAATTCCCCTCCAGGCCAGCTCAGCTCACTGTTCCTCCCTGCTGCTTCCCGACAGTGTCCTGTCCCCCTTGGTCCATTTGTCCATCCTCCTCAATATTGCTGATGTCTGCTCTGTGTAGATTCGCAGGTCTCTCCATAGGGTTGGAGGTGGTAGGGGTCCATGCACAGAGGGAAGGGCCGGTGTCTGAGGGTTGGTTGGGGTGACCCTCTGAGGGCAGGATCTGCTCCTCCTCCACCCTGGGGGACCGTTCCCAGCCCCAGCAGGAGCAGTGTCACCGCACACGGCCCCTTGGCACCTGCATAGCCGGCCCCACCTGTCTGCAGAGTGCTTTTCCTGGAAGCTGAGTTCTCAGCCCGCTGCCTCCAGGGCACGACCCTGGGTCCCAGGAGCGGTGTTGTCAGTCACTCTGCCGCTCGCTCATCCGGGAATTCATGTGGGCAGCAGGCCCGGGCCCTGGCTCGGAGCCCCCGAATTCCTGACCCAGCTCCCTCCTAGTTGCAACACAGAGCGGGGCTCTTGAGCGCTGTGCCCCGGGCACTGTCTGTCCTGCTGTCCCTGCCTGGGCAGATGTGGGACCGCTTGGGTTTTGTCTTTGCGCTGGCTGCTCTGGGAGCTGTAAATGCAGGAGAGGCCTCAGGAGAGGTCCAGGCAGACAGCTCGGAGCAGGTGCTTGTGCCAGACCAGGGTCTCAGTCCTGTGCCCCCTGGTGACGAGCTGCACCAGATCTTCCTCCAGTCTGCAGGCTGCGCGACCCTGCTCCCTGGTCATGCGGTGCAGGCGCTGTGGCTGGCATGGCTCAGCTGTGATTGGAGCAGAGCCTGGTTTCCCTTGCTGTGAGCTGCGCTTGGACAAAAGGGCCCGGCTTTCTTGACTCAGGAAATTGCGGGGAGGCCGGGCGGGGCCTGGACAGTGGCCTGTGGCCAGGAGTGTGGAGCTGGGTGCACCTGGGTCTGAGGTGGTCTGGTTTTCCTCCCTGCTGGCGGGGTCTGCACACAGGGTGCCTATTTGGCCTGAGGAGCCCCCTGCCTGCCCTCAGCCTTGGCACACGTGGGGTGCAGCAGGGCCCAGCGCCCAGTCTCCTTTGTCAGCATCCGGAGGGGATATCCACGTGACTTTGTGGGGGCCAGGATTTAGCTCAGTGGTGCCACTGCCTGCCTCACAAGTGCAAAGTCCTGAGTTCAATCTCTGGTACCAAAAAAACCCAAACAGACAAGAAAATAAGGTCAGGCCATGTTCCCAGTCATCTCTTTAGACAGGAGGAGAGCATGGTGTGCCAGACCTTCAGTGGACATTGGTGTTCTGCGCTGCTTTTCAGCCCTGAGGACATTTTCCATAGCAGCGCGCACCCCTTCGGTGACAGACACAGCCGCCTCTCGGGGTCCACAAAGCATGGTTCCGGCATCTGCACAGGGTTCTTGAGCCCTGTATAAACTGGCCTTGCATTTGCACAGAACCTGTGCATGTGCACCCTCCTGCAGACTTTCAGGCCTAGGTTATGTGTAATACCAGGGCGTGCAAATAGTTATTATCCAGCATTCTGGGAGGCTGAGGCAGGAGGATTGCAAATTTGAGCCCAGCCTGAGTCTGGGCAACTTAGCCAGCAAGACTGTCTAAAAAAAAAAGTGCTGTATGTTGTACTCTATGTTTAGAGAAGAACAGCAAGGGAAATCAGTGCTTCACAAGGATGTGGCATGGTCTCGAATACTTTTCATCACGGTTGATCAGGATGTGGCTTGGGCAGGTGCAGAGGGCCCAGCTCATCAGTAGCTGGCTGTGCTGGGTTTCTCTGCAGTGCTCATTAACAGCAAGGGCTGCGTACAGTTCCTGTCTGGGTGGCTCTCAGGTCGTCAACAACCCTAGGTCCCAGAGTTCTCAGCAGGTGGGGTTCGCCCGGCTGCGCCGTGGAAGGTACCGGACGTGGGCAGACTCCGGGGAGAGATGTGGGGGGACCGACTTCCTTCCCTCCTCCGCCTTCCCTCCCTCCTTCTGCCCTGCCTGCCTGCCATGGGGCTGTCCTGGTCCAGGGACATCTGGGGAGGCCAGGTGGACAGAGCCATGAGGCCGGGCACCTCAGAGCCCTTGTGAGGTGCCGTGCATATCGGAGGTGCTGCCCTGCCCTCCCTCTCTGATGGCTGTTGGGCCCCACTGACACCAGAGACCTCCTGGCCACTGCCCTGCCTGGGACTGGTTCCCCTCAGGGTCTGCCTGGCCAGGAGCCCCAGGCTGGGGGAAATCTTGCAGTTTCCTAGTCTTTCTGGTGAGCCGGGTCTGCTGGACCGCTGCTGCCTGCCTCAGTGGCCCCGGGAACCTGAGGCCCTGCACTGTGGCCTGGGCATCTTAGAGCAGGAGACCCTGGGTACCTGAGGGCCGGGGCATTAGCGAGCCCGGTGGGGGTGTGTGTGGAGTTCCCTGCCTGATGGCTCGTGCAGAGTCCCGGTTGAGACAGGGTCTCGCTAAGTTGCCCAGTCTGGGCTCTGACTCATGATCCTCCTGCCTCGGCCTCCCTGAGTGCTAGGTTTGTGGGCGTGTGCCCCAGTGCGCGGCTGTGTGAGCCGGTTAAAGCCATCTGACATCACGAGAAGCCTCTGTTAGGGAAGGTGGTGCCCTCCCTGTATCGGTCCCGGGTGTGTGGCAAGGCCTCGGCCTGTGACCTGACTCAGGGACATGACACGCCAGGCCCCAGTCCAGCTGGTACCCAAGATAGTGCCTTCACCAGGCAACTTGTGCCGCAGCCCAGGAACCCAAGGACCCCAGCTCCTTACGGCCTGAGTGGCCTTGCTGGGAACGCTTCGCTTAAAACGGTTGCCCTACAGGCATCTGATGGCGGTTCACTGGACCTCAGTGCCACCCTGTCTCTCTGAGTCTGTCTGGCCTGACCTTGGGCCCTGTCTCTGTCCTCCTTCCCTCCCTCTGTCCCTCTGTGCCATGATCGGCCACTTTTTCTTTGTGCAAAATGAGTGACACTGAGGTGAAACACAAAGAGTTTAGACCCCAAGAACCCACTTTATCACACTCCAGTGTTAAATCTCGGAGAGGCCCCAGGATTTCTTTCTTCAGCTGTCTTGCCGGGGGCCCAGCCCGTGGTCTGCAAGGGTTTTGGCCACTGTCCGGGGCCTGTTGGCACTCAGAAGCTGTCATCGGCCGCAGGGCACCCGCACCTCTCAGCTGCCCTCCCCTCTCCCACAGGTGAAATGCTATCACAAGAAGTACCGCTCGGCCACGAGAGACGTGGTCTTCCGGCTGCAGTTCCACACGGGTGCCGTGCAGGGCCACGCGCTGGTGCTAGGGAAGGAGGATCTGGACAGCGCCTGCGGCGGTGAGGGTGGCGCTGAACCTCAAGTCCCCACCCTGGCCCCCGATGCAGCCAGGGGAACTAGTAGCCAGCGGGGAGGAATTGTGAACCCCGGGGTCCTTTGGGTGCTGTGGGGATCCCTGCAGTCGGGGGTGAGGCTGTACCATGGCGCTGTCTCTTTCAGATGACCGCTTCCCCCACCACGGGAAGGTGGAGCTGGTGTTCTCTTCCACGCCAGAGAAGATGCGAGGTGGGTGTGGGGCGGGGTGTGGGCGGGGTTCCAGGTGGGTGCTGGGTGGGTGGCTGCAGGGAAGGCAGTGTTGGCCGAAGACGGCACTGGGCACCCTGGGGGCTTCTGTAACCGGAGGATGCTGGGCAGCAGGGAGGAGGTGGCTTGGTGAATTCCTAGAGATGGCCGGGGAGTAGTGGTGCACTTCTGGAGTCCCAGCCCTCGGGAGGCTGAGCAGGAGGCTCCCAAGTTTGAGCTGCGCCTCAAACAACATGAAACCAAAACTTGCAGCGGGGGTAGCATGGCCGGTCCAGGCCAGTGTCCATGTCCTGTCAGCATCCTGGTGCCTCAGCCTCCATCTCCTGGGCATTCGGGCTACTGGTTTCCTACTCTCATTCATCAATAACATGACAGTGTCAGAGGGAGTTCTGAGCCCAGGAGACTGCAGATGGCTGTGTGTGAAGCCCTCTCTCCTTCCTCCTAAAGCACGGAGCACCAGCCCCTTTGTTGCAGGGAGGTTTTGCTTAAGTGGAGCCCGGCTCCTCTCTCACACTGACTTCTGTAGCCGGCCTCCTTAGCTCCCCTGAGGTCGGGCACCAGGCTCTGCCGGGACTGACACCCGTTGTGTCCCCAGGCCCCGAGCACCTGCACAACGACCATGGTGTCATCGTGGACTTCAACACGGCGGACCCCCTCATCCGCTGGGATTCCTACGAGAACCTGAGCGCGGACGGTGAAGGTGCGTGTTCCTGCCAGGATCTGACCGAGTCGCTATGTTGCCCAGGCTGGCTTTAACTTTCCATCCTCCTGCCTCAGCCTCCTAGAGAGCTGGGTTACAGGTGTGCGTCACTGTGTCCAGCCGGGCTTGGCGGGAGGCTGATTGCTGAGGTCTCCCCAGGAGCCCGGAGCTGCGTGTGTGCTGCCCCCTCCTGTGGGGTTGGGTGCCACACGCTGGTCACGGCCTCCGCTGTTGGTCGAACCCCCCATGGGCAAGGGACCTGTGCCCTGTTTCTCCTGGCTTGCTCAGGAAGTCCACGGCGAGGGCGCTTGTCCCCGTCACTCCCTTTGCCAGACCCAGTGCCCAACCCCCACAGCTTCAGGGAAGCACCGTGCACCTGGCCAGCTTTGTCTAGGGTCTGCTGCTCCGAGGCAGGTGACTGGGAGGAAAAGCTGCTCGCCTCACGGTGACCAGGAAGCAGAGAGAAGGGGGAGCTCCTCCTGGGTCACCCCAAGACAGCCTCCAGCCAGGCCCCACCCCCAACAGCACACTCCACCCTGAGTGCATCTGTGGACCCACTGAGGAGACAGTGCCCCCTGAGCCATCCCCTTTCACACAGGAGACATGGGGTCATTCAGGGCCAAGCTGTCACAGCCTGCCCTGGCTACGGTGCCCCTTCCTTGTGGGGCAGAAGGAGGGCAGAGAGCCCCCCAGGTCCTCACCCGGGTCAGGTTACAATGTGAGCTTGCGAGTATTCAGGCCAGAGCAGACATTCAGTTCCCGTCTGCTGAAGGAACGATCAGAGAAACGAGTTAAGCCTTGTGTTTCGGGCCTGTGGACTTTACAGGCGACACTCCCTGGGGAGAGCTCTGCCTGGCGCTTCCCTAGCAGAGAAAGTGGGTGCTCTCTGATCTCCCCACAGAAACTCCAGGGTCCCTTGCTGTGCTGGCCGGCTGTGTCTGGTGCAGGACCAGAGCCCACTGCCATAGCCCCCAGGACCGGTGCTCAGAGCTGGAAAGTGATCCTGTCCCCGCCCACCTCCTGGTTAAAAGAAAACCCCACACGTAGCGAAAGCAGCTGCGTTAATCCAGACACCCCACCCCCCACCCCGTTCGGCCCAGGCCTTTGTTAAGACCCTCAGGCGGGAGATGCACACCAGGTTCTGGTGCTCCTGGCTGGGTGAGATCCACAGGCTGGCGCGCAGTGTGGCAGTGTGCAGGGAGCCGGCTGCTGGGTCCCAGTTGACAGCGAAAAGGAGCCTGGCTGGGGGAGACCAGAGCTCAGAGCTGCCAGCCCTGAGCACCTCTTGGTCCTGTCCTGTGGTCTCAATGTCACGCTGCACAGGACAGAGCTCCGACAGGTGTCTCTGCTGCCCGGAACCCCAACTCTGCCAGTGTCACCAGTGTCTGGCTGTGTTGTCCCACAGCAGAGGGGGTGGGCGGACTTCTTCAGGGCAAATGGAGCTGCGGGGCCAGCCAGGTGCAGGGCCAGGTGCAGGGCTGCTCACCTGGTGGCGGGCAGGAAGCAGGGGAGGCGGGAGCTAGGAGGGAGGCAGTGGCTGCCTCTTCCTGACACCCAGTCAGCTGCAGAGCCCCTGATCCTGGCCCTTTCCCCAGCCCCATCTCTGAGTGCGCAGGGCTCATCTGGATATAAACGGATGTTCAGAAGTGGAGGACACAGGTCAGGGAGCCCCGGGCTGGCACCTCACGGAGGCTCCCTCCAGCTTCCGGCCGGCCCAGTGCTGTCAGGGAAGCTGCCCCACAGTGCAGCTCAGCCTGTGGAGAGCCTGCTCTGATGGCCCCGCTGCCGTCCTGGCGTTCAGCCCCTGCCAAGGCGTCAGCCGCTGGCAGGATTGACTGGTGGGTGTGACCTCTGCCTCTGCCTCCAGGGGAGCGGGAAGAGCACCCCAGGCCCCTCCGTGCCCCGATACCCTCTTGGACCCGCCGGCGTGGATGTGTGTGTCCTGCTGCTGCTGTGCCTGCTTCTCTGGATCTGTGACCTCTTTGGTGGCCGCGCCTCCTTCACCCGTGCAAGGGTGGTGACTCAGTGCCACCCTGCGTCCTGACCTTTGGACCCGGGTACACATGGGAGCCAGCGGCTCAGCCACAGCCCTGCGGGTGCTTAGGCCCACAAAGGGCACCCTGAACATGCCATGCTCGGGCCCTCCTCTGCCTCTGCCCACTCCATCTCTCTCAGGCTTGGAAAAGTGCCTGGGGAGGCCCTTCAGGTCCTGTGTACGAGACTGTGTTACTTCTTTCTTTGGTCTTTTTTTTTTTTTTTTTTCAGTACTGGGGATCAAACTCAGGACCTAGCACTTTGGAGGCAGGCATGGTACTGCTGAACTAAATCCCCGGCCCTGACACTTCTTTCTTTGGAAAGTGTTGCTAAACACGAGCCAGGTGTGACGGCGCTCACCTGTCATCCCAGCACTCTGGGAGGCTGAGGCAGGAGGATTACAAGTTTGAGTCCAGCCTGGGCAACCTTGTGACTTAATGAGACCCTGTCTCAGAATAAAAGGGATGGGTATGTAGTTCAGTGTGAAGGCCATGTGTTCTGTTCCCAGTAATGCAAGAAGGAAAAAAACCAAAATGAAATGGAGAAGCTGGATCCTATGAGAGAAGGAAGGTTGCCAGTCTTTTACAGGGAAAGGGAAGTGTTTGTAAGAAGGCACAGTGGGGCACCTGTGACTTAGGTCCTTCCGTCTCCAAGGTAGCAGGCACCCCATACCTAGGGGCACACACTCCTGCCCTTGATTGGCAGCATGCAGGTCTGTGCTGAGGAAGGAGATGTTGTCCTGCCATTTACAAGCTGCCCAGGGGTCTTGTTTCTGGGTCAGCAGCTTTCAAGCTCTCCTTGTGCAGCTGCAGGATTCCTCCCACCCGCACCCTCCCCTTGTTTGCCTGTTGCTGCCCTATTTTGGGGGGGTCCAGCATAAAAAGCTTTAGGGGAACACACGGCAGCTGTGGGAAGTTGGAAACCACATCCCAGTGCACGCATTCTCTGGGTTGCCTGGATCCCGTTTTCCCCAGGGTGCAAGGACCAGGGTGGAGGTTTGGTAATTTACTTTGTTGCTCCGGAAGGCCCGCCCACGAAGTGTTCCCTGCTTACTTCCCAGATCAGCCGGCAGAGGGCGTGCCGGGAGCGTCCATCCAGACTCCTCGGGCAGAGCCCCTTCAAGGGCAGCATTTGGAAAGTGAGCTTCAGGCCCTTTCTGGACTCGGTGTACTGCACCTCTCCTTCAAGGGAGGAAGCTGTGTCTGCCTGCCCTGCTCCTTCTTCACGGTGCTGGGGGAGGCACAGCCAGGGCAGAGCCGTGGGACCCTGGTGTCCCCCGAGGCTGTGGGGACAGAGAGGTGGGAAGAGGGCAGGGGCAGCAGCGGAGTCTGGAGACCATCCCTGCCTCAGACTGGCCGTCGGGCCCGGTGGCCTCCGTGCGCCCACTGGCCACACGCCAGACAGGGTGGGCACTGGTCCCTGGAAAGTTTCTTCCGCACCCCAAGAGCTGGAGATGGGGGACGAGGTGACAGGTTTCTAACAGGACTCTGGGCCTCACTTACGGAAAACCGGAGTAATTCAGGGCTCTCCAGGGCCAAGGGCCCTGTCCGTCCAGGCAGTGGTGTCCCCCGAAGCCACACCCTGTGCCTGCCAAAGGGGAGGTTTCTCTGCCACCCCAGTCACTTGTTCCCTTTTGGTGCCCAGGACTCACACCCCCTTAGATGCTGGGTGCTTGGGCTGTAAACCCCACCACGGGGGTCAGAGCCCTCATCCCTGTCCCCACCCCATGCCACAATGCTTGCCGTGCAACACTTGAGACTCTTGTCCTCATAATTTCTAAATACTATTTATTCCCTTGTTACCTTGTGGCTCTCAGCCTGAGGGTCTGCATTTGTTTTTTTATTAGTTAGTTAGTTTTGATTTTTTGAGACAGGGTCTCACTAGGTAGTTCAGGCTGGCCTTGAACCACAGTGATCCTCCTGCCTCAGCCTCCCGAGTGCTGGGATGACGGATATGCGCCACCATAGCTGGCTATTTATTTATTTTTATTGAGCTCAAATCCGAGTAACAGAAACTTGCCCTTCTCACCCATCAAGCCCCTCCAAGTACCAAGGGTGCTGGTTTCCTGCCCATTCTCAGATGGAGCAGCAGTCCCTGCCGTCTGTCCAGAGGCTTTCACCAGCTGCTGTTCCTCCCTTTCCTGCTTGCTCTGTTTCTCCCCTGGATGTTGCACAGAAATGTGGTCATGTGGTCTGGTCTTCGGGACCCACTTTCAGTGTGTTTCCAGGGTGCACGGAGCTGCACCTGCTCCTCCCATGGCTCTGCAGTGTCCCTGTGTGGAGGGCTGCGGCTTGTTTATCTGTGGACCAGCTGATGTGCATCTGGGTGTGTTACAGCCACTGCTGGTTCCTCACCCAAAGAATGCTGCTAAGAAACATTTTTCTGTACATTTTACCCTTAGGTATAAATACCTCTCATCTTTTTACTGTTTTCTTTTTTTTTTTTTTGAGATGGGTCTCCCTTTGTAGTTCAGGCTGGCCTAGAACTCACAGTAATCCTCCTGCCTCAGCCTTCCGAGTGCTGGGATTATAGACATGCATCGCCACTCCTGGCTCTTTTCCACTAGTTTTTGAAATTTCTATTTAAAAAGCAAAACGAAACAAAACAAAAAACAGGGATTAAATCCAGGCCTTCACACTGAGCTACATTCCCAGCCTCTTTTTATACTTGCTAAATCATGCACTCTGGGCTTGAGCTTGCAGCCCTGCCTCAGTCTGGCTCCTGCATCGCACCATTTTTTTCCCCCCATTTGGTTTCAAGTTGTGCATTTCTTTCTGTCTTGGAAGGAGCCCATCAGGACTTACAGGAGACATTCTTACCCCCTGTCCTGCTTGGCCAGCTGCCTTTAGAGATACCTGGAAAACTCATTCTGGTCTCTCTGCACTGGGTACAGAATCCCAGGTACACAGAATAGCAACTTTTTTCTTCTTTTGGTGTTTTGTGATAGAGTCTTGCTGTTATAGCTC